GTTATCTTTGCTTATAGCTCCTTTTATTGAAGTAGAGTGTACACATGAAGGAAGGGCACTTAAGCTGGAATGCTTGAGGGAATTGCTTTGTTTGGGATGTGATGGTATGCTGCTGTACCAAACAGGTTGTTTGAGTGGAAGAAAGAGCCTTACACTAGTTACCTGTTAATAGATGGAGTTCATTGTAAGAATGGGTGCCAGTGACTGCATCTTAGGGGCCATTCAGCCCATTTTCACCCCATTGACTGTGTTGGGTCTCCCAAGCTGTGTTCTTCTATCTCTTATCAACTGACTTGTTTTGTTCTCTCATAACTCAGGCTTGCGTGTACCTCTTCTTCCTTTGCTCATCCTCCTTCCATCTTTTCAGCTCTGGCGCCACCACTAGTTAGTATTTTCTCTGAACGTTTCTCTTCTTAAGTTCCCAGCAGAGACTCTACCCCATTCTGCTTTTCAGATTAGCACTTAGACTGTCTTCCTTTGGGTGAGGAGCCCAAACCCTTGTTCCACTAATTCTGGTCAGAGGAGAGGGGCATAGCATAGTGTGCAATAATGTATTTCTCGGAGCAGGAGCTGTGGGAAAGTTGAAATCTACAGGGTAGGTGCAACAGCAGGTTTATAGTTTCCACGGGAAATAATACAATAACTAATAATACAAGAATAAACTTTGTGTGTGGCATATTCACAACTGTAAATCTACTTTTGCCCCGACCTGTTCATTTTGGGTTGCCATAGCAAATACCATAGGCTGGGTGGCTTCAATAACAGAAATCGATTTCCTCGTGGTTCTGGAGGTTGGGAAGTCTGCCGTGAGATCTGGTCCCAAGTATTGCATGGGATATACTTACACTTCAGGTTTGTTTGTTTGTTTGTTTTTTAATGTATCTGAAATTCAAATGTAACTAGGAAAGAGGAATGAGAATGGTAAGGTGAATTTTCTCCCTGTCAACAGGTAGGATATTGGGGAAGTTAAATTGTTAGTTAATTCTCGAACCAAACTGCCTGGGCTGCAATCCTGGCTCCATCACTTACCAGTGGTATGGCCTTGGGCAAGCTAATTAACCTTTCTCTGCTTCAGTTTCTTCAAAGTGTATGTATGGATGAGGTGGGGGCTAAAGCACTTAATTGTGTAATATGCTTTGAACAGGGCCCAGCTGTGGCTGGTGCTGTGTTTGCTGCTATTATTACTTCTTCTACTTTAGCATTAGTGTTGACTCCTTTGCTATTGTATCCACATCTCGTTTCTTCTCTTTACTGCCCCTGATTCATCATCCTCACTGGTCACAGTAATTGCCCTGAAAAAACCTTCAGAACGTGGCATTCTTCTGACATGTATTGCATCTTTTTAAAGTCTTATCCACTGACTATGACCCACTGCTACCACTCAGATACCGTCTACTTCCATGTAGTGCTGAGATGGGTATTGAGGGAAGGGTGATGGTGGGCTGGGGAAAGGGTAAGCTGGAGGAGTCGTGTCTGCAGTGTGATGGGAGTAGACTCCAGCTCTGCATCTCAAAAAGTCTGTGATTACAAATGAGTTGCTTTATATTTAGAACTGAATCGTTGGGATAGCGGTGTAAGACATAGGAACACATTTTTTTTTTTAAATCTTTTGTCTCTACCATGGTTAATAATGGTGAAATCTGGAAAACCACACACACACACACACACACACACACACACACACAAAAAGTCACATTTATTTTAGGGACATCAGAACAGATCAGATAAACTGAAATTAATTTTCTATCCCTGAAATCCAGAGACATGGGGCTCTCATCTGAGTGCTAATATCAGCGACTTGCAGCTTGAGCCTTTAAAAAAACTATGAAGATAAATATTTATCTGAAAAAGTAATTTGTTTTTTCACATAACAGACTTATAGATGAACTCGGATGTCAGTGTTTTTCTCCGTTGGGAACTGACTGCTCTTTCTCTGTAGACTCCTAAATCAGTGGCCTCTGAATTCATCGAGCGCCTCCCCATCCACCTCATGCCCATACTGTCCATACAGCCTATCTTTCTGAGGGTAATGTCTTATAATGGAAATAGAATAGAACCAAATGTTATTGTGTATACCAAGATGTGGCTCTAATAATAAATTAGTACCTATGTATATCATTTTACCCTTTCTAAACTTTATGAAAACCATTCATGTGAATTAGAGATTTTCAAGTTCAGAAAAGATTGATAAGTAGCTTAGACACATGTAGTAAGTGGTCAGGCTGAAATCATCAGATTCCCTAAGCCATGCTCTTTCATTGCTACCATGCTTCCTATGGGTAAGTTAATTCAATATAACTATGTAGAGCTGGGCTTCTTTATATTGAAGTATCTGCACTTATACTTTTTAATTGTCAGACATTAATAACTTTTTTGAGGTGTGGGGAAATTAATTGTATGCTCTTTTATGATGGAATGTTACAGTCTCCTTGTCAGTAACAATAAAAATATATGACTATATAAGATATTGCTAAAATAAGATCTTGCTGCATTTTTCCATGAAATCATATCATTGGAGCCTGATATTGGACTGCTCATCTGTATGGGCTCAGCATTAATCCTGAATATATATTTCATAGTTACGATTTATGTAGTGATCTGGAAATTGGTAGATTTTATTTATTTCATTTATCATAGTATTAGAGGCCTGGTGCATAGAATTTGTGCACGGGTATGGTCCCTAGGCCTAGTCTGCAATCAGGGCCATCTTCCCTGACTGCTGACATCTGGCCTTCCCCCTTCACCCCCTCTCACCATTCACCATTGGTATTGGAGCCTGCCGGCAGCGGGGAGGGACCAAAAGGTTGGCCATTCCTGTCCGCTGTTCTGTCCCCAATGCCAGTTGCCCTCTGTGTGTGGGGACACTGGCAGGGCGGGGTCTTGGCCTGGCACCGCCCACCATCCACCCCTGGTTCCCTGTTCCCCATTGGGCGATCAGAGCCTGCCTGATCAGGGCTGCAAGCTGGGGCAGCTCCTGTGTTGAACCTCTTGGTGGTCAGTGTGCATCATAGCGACCAGTCGTTCCACCCTTTGGTTGATTTGCATTAACTTTTTATTATATAGGATACACAATTAGTAAATGTGTTTTCTATGAAACTAAGGTTCGGGTGTAGGCTCCTTGCTCAAGGCCACACCACAATTCAGTTCCAGGCTAGAGCTAATGTCCTCTTGTTATGGCACTTTTTATTTTATTTTACTTTTGTCCTTGTTCAAGGATATTTTCTCTATTGATTTTTAGACAAAGTGAAATTGAATGAAAGAGAGGGAGGATGGAACAAGAGACAGAGAGATAGAGGAGAGAGGAGAGAGACATTGATGTGAGAGACACACATTGATTGGTTGCCTCCTGCACGTGCTCCTACTGGGGCCAAGGATTGAACTTGCAACTGAGGTATATGCTCTACACCAGGAATTGAATCCAAGACCCTTCAGTCTGCAGGCCAATACTCTAACCCCTAAGCAAAACCTGCCAAGGTGAGGGCACATTTTAAAACAGGTGCCAGTGGTTAGCTATTTGTTTGAAATGGAGTTGATGTTGTAGATAGTGTATTCTCAATTGAGGTAAGGAAAGTATTATTCTTTGTTATTACATGGCTAATTGCAGGCATTAATGGTCTATGCATGTGTTCATATACATCACATACTTCCATTCCTTCTAAATGCATTTTCTCTTAAGGAAATAATAAACTTGTTTCTTCTCAAGGAGATCCATTTTCTCCATTGACGGAATTACTGGCTCAGTTTCCTACAAGACAGAGGGTAGCTGTAACTATGGAGACATTGTGAAAAATTCTGGGACAGCAAAGATTAAAGATGGGCTAGTGGTGTGGGCATTGTCAGTGGAGATGTGCTTTAAACTGCCAGATAAGTATTGCCAGGGAAAGATGAGATATGTGTTAATTGAAGGAGTTGAGAAGTGTTTATCTTTTTTTTTTTTTTTTTTTTTTTAATGGGAAGGAAGAGAATATTATAGTCAGGAGGGTATTTTGAACACCTTTGAAGAATCTCCTTTTATTTAACACTCTTGTACCCAGTTTTTCATCTCTGCTTTCATGTATTATATTGCAGTGACTCATATTCTGCTTGAGTATCACAGTTCCTTTCTACTTGGGATATATCATATCCCAGGTTAAGTATTATATAATACTCCCCAGTTAAGACTGAATATGCAAGGCCAGGGCATCCTCTACTTTTTATGTTGTCATTTTTTTTTGCCCACAGACTTTCTCATGCAGCGTCTAGTAAGCTTACTCTACAGGTAAGGATATTTAAAGGAATCCAAGGTTTTAGTGTTCTATGTTGAGGAGCTCTTAAGGAAGATTTGTATACGTTTGTCATTTTCTTTAAAAGACGGATTTTTGCATTATTATGCAAGTATTACCTGCAAATAAAAGGTTCTAAAATGATTACTTTTTTGGCCTATTAGGAAACTGTCTTATAAGTCAACAAGATTTTAAAGGTCAATGGAATTATAATAGCATCAAGTGCGTTTTATAATATACTAGAGGCCCGGGTAATGAATTCATGCACAGGTGGATCCCTGGGCCTGGCTGGTGATCAGGGCTGATCAGGGCTGTCTCACCTAATCCCAATTGGGACCAGCCGGGAGGAGGGACCTTGGAAGGTTGGCCGGCTGGCGGGGGGGGGGGGGGGGGGGGGGGGGGGGGGGGTGTTAGATATGGAAGTGCACTGACAACCAGGGGGCAGCTCCTGCCTTGAGCATCTGCCCCCTGATGGTCAGTGTGCGTCATCGCGACCTGTCATTTGGTTGACTGATCATAATGGTCACTTAGGCCTATATATATTATATATATATATGTGTGTGTGTGTGTATGTGTGTATATATATATATATATATATATATATATATATATATATATAGTTTTAGAGTATAATCTTAAAGTTTTGATAAAACATAACCATTTCATTCTAATTCTTTTTCCCCCTAGAGTTCTATTTTGGTTGCTGTTTAGAGAAGAACACTGAACTTTGATAAGAAAATGTTAGAAACTATAGGTAAGATCTATTCCTTTCTGACTATTTAAAAAAAAAATTGAATCTCATTCCACTGGGATCTTTGAAAAACAGTATGTTCTATATAACAGAATATACCTATCACAACTTAGTTTTTAAAAGTCTTTGTCTCCTAGCATTTTAGTAGATAATGTGTTTCTACATTTGGACAATTTCATCTGAAGTATTATAAAACATTTATAAGCAAAAGTTAAAGGCACATGAGATGTTTTAATAATTATGGGTTTTATTCTTAATGTAAACTCACTTCTCATATATGAACCTAATGTTGGTTCATGTTTATTTCTGAATAGCACCAGAAAGTGTAACGGAATTTTTAATACTGAAAAAGATAATTTCCAATGCCATATTTTTACTTTATAGCAGGTAAAATACTTCTGAGTGCTTATTTTTAAGTTGCTAAAGATAACAGTAAGAAAATGTAGGCTGACAAGCTTCAGTGTTGATGTAAAGCAGTTTAATTTCTACATGAGATCATTTAAGTTGCAATATGCAGATTTCCCCAGATCATGTGTTAATTTTTTACATTGTTGTTGAGCTTTAGAGACACTGGTTTGTGGAACTAGTTTTGGGTGTGTCAGGTGTGGTACACCCAGTGGCTGTTGTCCTTCATCTGACACCACAGTCCTCACCTACTGCAGGGAACCTCAGGTGTGAGTGTGGAAAGGTATGGGATTTCTGTCTGGCACCTTGTTGAGTGCAGCTGGTGTCCTGGCAGCTGTGTGTGCTGAGGGGTAGAGTGGGAGTGGGTGGTAAAAAAAAAAAAGGTGAAGGGACTTTTTCTGATTATGGGAATCATTACTGTGATTTTTATACCTAGTGCTGTGCCAGTAATGAAAATGCATGGAGCACAGTGCACAGTGCACATTCCTTATCCTAAGGTGGTCCCCTTCCTTCAGCATCCATTTGCCACTAAAGTCCCACATGAGAAGGACTGCTCTCCACATAGGAAACTTCCTCACAGGAACTTGAAAAGCAAAGGGGAAATTTTAAGTTATTTAAATTATTTCTTTCTAATTTTTATTCTGCAAATTATTACTGAGTTGCACACCTTCCAAGAAGTGACAGGATATGACCCAGAATAAAGTTCTCATGTGCCTCTTTTATCATTATTTGCTTTTAAAATTCTGCATATGAGTAAATATGGCTTGTTTAAATTTGCATATGTTTGTGAACTCACAGTCAACATTAATTCATGCTTTAATTTCCAGTTTCTGTATAATTCCTCCTTTAATATTATAAAAAGTGTATGTGGTGATAATGTACATATAATAATGCAATAACGTATATGTAAATTTGCTATTTAAATTCTTGGAAAAACAGTTCAAGTATTTAAAAAAGTGGTGCTGTTGAAGAGATATGCATTATTGTGATGTATTTTCAAGTAAATTCTCAAGTATAGAATGTTTTGCTCTTAATATGTGAAATTGTCTTATTTTAGATGTTATAACATTATCCACATTCACTTACTTGTGAGTTAGTTATATTTCTGTTTTTTTTATTATGTGTAAATAAAATTTTTAAAAGGTAAAAAATATCAGCTTTTGCAAGGTCCCAGAACATCTAGTATTCAGTAGTTTTTAATTAAAAAGTTCAAGTAGCCAAAGCCGGTTTGGCTCAGTGGTAGAGCGTCAGTCTGGGGACTGAAAGGTCCCAGGTTTGATTCCGGTCAAGGGCATGTACCTTGGTTGCGGGCACATCCCCGGTAGAGGGTGTGCAAGAGGCAGCTGGTCGATGTTTCTCTCTCATCGACGTTTCTAGCTCTCTATCCCTCTCTCTTCCTATCTATAAAAAATCAATAAAATTTATTTAAAAAAAAAAGTTCAAGTAGCTGGCTTTAGAACTCAGATATACTTTATCTGACTTAGTTTCTGTACTTTACACTTAGCTGTGTTGTAGCCTACACTCCAACTCCTGCTTCCGAACAGACTCTTAGGAAAGACCTCCAGGTTGGAGATCTCTGAGAGACCTCCATATTTACAGTGACACTTTTCAGTCCCTCTTTTTTTCAGAGTCACTTTTATGCTCTCAAAAGGAATTTTTTTATGCTGGGGGGAAGGGGAGTCTAGGGGGAAGACAGAGGGGGGAAAATGAGACATACGTACTACTAATTATAATGTTTCAAACAATAATAAAAAATAAAGTCATCATTTTAGGATGTCGGTGAGCATGGGTTGATGTGTGTGGGCGTCTGAATCCTGATACTGACTGATGCTGCTCTTCGGTGTAGACAAAACGCGGGCCCTGCAGGCCGCAGAGCGCTTGCAGGCCAAGCTGCGAGAGCGCGGGGACGTGGCGAACGAAGACAAGCTGAACCTTCTGAAGTCAGTCTTGCAAAGCCCGCTCTTCAGTCAGATTCTGAACCTCCAGACCTCCGTGCAGCAGCTGAAAGACCAGGTAGGACATCCTTCACCCAGAGCAGGCGTCCACGGTGTGACACAGATCTTGGGAAAGGCTTGTGTGGTTCCGAAAAGCTGGTTTTTATATGTGTTAATGAGTAGTTAATGAAGTCATTTAAACTTCCAAACGAAACACTCGGATTCACTGTGGCTCCCCCCCCCCCCCCCCCCTAGTTATTTTTGTAAAGGCTGTTGCTATCTACTGTAGATGATATGACATTGTGTTGAAAGCTGTGTGAATGCTAAAGAATGAGCCCCTCCGGGAGGAGGGTGTAGTAGAATATGTTTAGGGCGGATGGCTGTAGACTTGGTTTCCATCATCACCGCCGCTCATTGTTCCTGTGGTCTTGCTCTTTCAGATTCAGACATTCAGTACACTCACAAGATTTCAGATAAGCCTGGATTTGCATGTGTAATCGTGTGTGAGGAAGGGAAATCACCTCTATTTTGACAGTCAAAGGAATAATTACATTGTCATCAGTTAGAGGAATTGCAGTTCTCACTTCTTTAAAGAAGTGTAAGTAGCAATTCCTTCCGTGACAGCATCAGATGGTGACAAACACTAGAACTTCTAAATGTAATAACACAGTGGGTGTTTTTTTTTCCCTGTAAAAATCATGAGCATTAAAAAGTCCTAGCATTTATATTAAAACCGAAACATATCGCAATGACAGAATGAAAATTGAAGTCAGCTGTTCTTTGGATTTACTTATTTTAATCGCCATGTCTCAGGGTTTAAAGAATATATTTTTAAAGTGGTGGTTATCCTCACTAGGCTTAAAGTCAGCCGATGCCTCCATTCCAAGCTAACTCCCACTCTAATATTTTTCACATCACTTTAATCGTAATGGATGGCTTGCGAGCAATCATTCTGCTTCTGCCTTAAAAGTTTAAAAATGAAACTTGAAGACTAGTTTTATAATTCAGTTGACAGTACAGCTCCAATGAAAAAAACACACACACAAAAACTAAAAAAATGTGCCAAATGCAAAAGGAACCAATAGTAGCAATAGAGAAGGAATTTGTTTAATGTCATGAAACTTCTTAATCTATATATTTTGGTAGCCAAAAATATAAATCAAGAAGAATTTTTAATTTTTTTTCTCTCTAGTGAGTTTCTATGTAGAGGTTTTGGAGAACCAGTATCCTGAATGTAGGTGTGATCAGGATGTGGAAAACTAGAGTGTGTGAAGTTGAGCAGAAGTCTTCTCCCCTTAGTGTTGTGCAAAGATATGATTAGAATGAGAGGAAAAGTTGAAACAAAAAGTACTAGTAAGTATGTCATGAAATACTGCAAGTCTAATCAGATAACTGTCAAAATACCAGTCAGCCTTATGTGAGCGGAATAGTGTTTGTACTTCTCAGGTCTGCGGAAGTGTGTTTGTACTTAATCTGCCTAGAAACTCACTAGAGAAAGAGGCCTATGTGTGTGGAGCTTGCTTTCCCGTTTCCAGGTAGAAGTCGTGGACGGGCCCCACAGGATTCTGATGCACCCTCCTTGGGAATGTATGGCGCACAGTGACATCAAGTCTCCTTGTCTGTGACCACATACAGGGTGATGTTGTGTTAATGGTAGACGCTGACATATTTCAGGACTAAGTAAGCCGTGAGGTTGATGACTTCTACAGGCATGTCTTAAGTGCCTTTGGCCTTTTGGCTCTGTGGTCCCCTGTCCAAGCACTGTAAGGGACCAAGGAAGCCATGTGGCCCACACCCTGTGATAAACAGTAGCTTAGAGATGTTGTATGACCAGAACTAGAACTCGGTTTCCTTCTCCATTCTTTACTAATTCAATTTCATTTGTGTATTGAACTAGATTTTTTTTTTCCTTGTATGACTAAAGTAACATTTCAGAAATTTGTATTTTTTTTGTTTTAAAGTTTAAACAAAAATATTCTAAACTTTATGCTAGATTTAAATTTTCCATATAGTTTTCCAACTGGTAATTTGTTAATATGTGTAGCTTACTATTTAATCAGTGCATCAAAGGAATGAAGTTTTTTTGTGCTTTGAAACCAGCAGCTACACAGATGTGATCAATGGCTAGCTTTTGTTTAGGCTGTCCCTAAATTATCTTTTCAGGTGTATCTGTATACACATTTTATAGGTGCAAGTGACTATCGCCATCTTTTTTTAATATATATATATATATATATATATATATATATATATATATATATATATATATTTGACCCCTCTGATTTTTCTCCACTATAATTCTCCAGTCTTTTCAAAATCGAAGGGAGTGAATAATTCAAAAGCTTAAGGTAAATGCAGCATATTGGAGAACATGATCATATTGTCGCTTTACCGACAGATGCTGTCTTGCCATGTTGAATTAAGCGTACTATTTCTTCCCCCTCAGATCCTCCTCATTACTTCTATTCAATAATGTTTAATTTTTCTAATTTGCTCTTCAGTATTAAGACTGCCCTTAAATATCAAACTGTTTCCCTTTGGCAAATTAAGCACTTGACAGGTGTGTAACTGAGAGGGCAAAGAAAGCCATGCCCTGAAGGGATGTGCTATTTAAATATTGTCAAAAATATTAACAGGTCTGAGAGTATAATTGATGCCTCTGTTTAACTCTGCCACATTGTGCATTGTTCTAACCGCCAGCTAAAAGGATGTGTGCTATTAAACCTGAATAATCGCTAATGGCTCCGGTTTATTTCCTACTGCACGATTCCTGTTGAGTGAAGAGAAGGAAAAAAGAGAAATGGGACTGTGTGTCAATGATCTGTCAAGCACACATTCTCCAGTCGTGTCCTCCCTGTCACCTAGCCATCACGGCTAATAACTGCAGAGCTCAATGTGTATTCATGACAAAAATCCAGCCATTGAGGGGCAAATAAACACGTTAGCGGTTTGATAATAGGAACTTGTCAGCCATGAGAAAATTGGATTTGCATATTTATTCTATGATGTTTCTCCAGTCCAGTATAGGTGCATGCTACTTTACTGATGAATTAATTGCTTTGCCTTATGCACTGACCACAGGCACTAAATCAAACATCTTTTACCCTGAGTTATTTGTGGGAAAACTGTGGATTAAAATTATTCATTTTTTAAAAAAATTTATTTGTTAACTTGATTGGTATGATATTGGTCACCATGAACATATAGATTTTAGGTGTGGGTTTCTGTGTTACAAGATCTTCTCCTGGCACCCAAAGTCAGGTGTTGTCCTGTCACCCTCACCTTCTCCCTCCACCTCTTTCCCTCTGGCAGCCACCACACTTCGGTGTGTGTTCATGAGTTTCAGTTTTATATCCCACAGATGAGTGAAATCATATGATCTTAGCTTTTTCTGATCAACTGATTTCACTTAGCATAACGTTCTCTAACGTTCTCAAGATCCATCCATGTTAATAGAAATTTGGGACTAATTTTTAAAAATTTATATTTTTTGCTGAGTTTTTCTTTTTTAAGTTATGGCAACAAAGACCAATGGTAAGATTGAAGAAATAGTGTGGATAATTCAGGTTATAAGAGCTGCTGATGTGGAAACCACATCTCAGAGGCTCTGAATATTCTAGAGGACTCTCCTTGTAATGATTGTCAGATTGTCAGAGACTAACACTATCTTATTTTTTGTTGTTGTTGTTATTTGATAGTCCCAGGCTCCTGGTTCATTCAGCTTTCTCCCAGAAAAGTATTGGCTCCTATACATATCATCTATTAGTATATGTATAATGTAGATATACACAGAATTAAGCCAGATTTTTCTAAAATTTTCCATGAAAATTTTGACATCACTTGAAAAAGCTGGAGAGATACTGACTTAACATAAAGTCAAGTTGGAAATTACTCTTTTGTGTTAGTGAACATTATATTCTTTTTCATTTTTATGCCTTTAAAATACAATTTTATTTACTTCAGAGAGGAATGGAGAGAGAGAGAGAGAGAGAGAGAGAGAGAGAGAGAGAGAGAGAGAGAGAGAGAGATCAATGATGAGAGAATTGAGAGAATTGGTTGGCTGCCTCCTGCATACCCCCTACTGGGGATCAAGCTCACAACCCAGCCATGTGCCCTAACCAGAAATCAAACTGTGACTCCTGGTTCATAGGTTGACTCAACAACTGAACCACACTGGATAGGCTCATTTTTATCCTTAAAATATGGTATTGATGGTATAAATTTTTGGTTTGTATTTCTATGTTTCTAAGTTTTCCCTTAGTTTGCTTTTTAAGTTTTACCTGCTTGGTTTATATTTATTTATTTCCAAGTTTTACTTTTCGCATTCCAAAAACAAGTTTGACAAAATTTCTGATGGCAACACATGTTGCCTAACAGTTGATTCAAAGATAAATCTAAACAAAGACCAATTAAAACTATCAGAGAACTAGATATTTCCAGGACCTTGGGTTACTAAAATTGAGTATGTCATCTAATTTCCATTTCCCAGGGGAAAGACAAAACAAAATAAAACAAAAAAAGATGGAAAATTATATATTGCTTGCTGTGAAACCTCATTCAGTGAACCAAATTTTCCCTTGACAATGGGAGGATGCTTTTATAAAAGGAGGCCCATAATTATTTAATAATAAACATTTACTGAACACCAAAATATAAATAAACTGTAGTGAATAAGGTAGAGGTTCTCATTATCTAGTCAGGAAAACAGAACATATATATTCTTATGGAATCAAATAGAAAAACAAGGAGGTAGGTGGCATGAGAGAAACGGGTTGCAACTTTGACCTGAAGTTCACATTGGAGGTAGCATGTACGATGGATTTTGAACAAAGAGCGGGAGCTTTCTGCAGAGATGGGGGGATTATTTCAGGTGGTGGGAACAGTGTGTACATGGGTATAGAGCAGTTCTCAGCTGGGTGTGATTTTACATTCTCCCCTGCTAGGGGATATTTGGCCATGTCTGGAGACATTCTTGATTGTCTTAATTTGGGGATGAGGATGGCATGCCCCTGGCATGTAATGGGCGTGCTGAACACCCTGGCTGCACATAATAACCCTCCCACGCAGAATAGTTGAGTC